TCTATCTTTGGAATTGCTTCGGAATACTCGTACGTTTATCCTTGGATGCCAGAAGCTGTGTACAGCAAGCGAAAGCCACTAAGCTGCCATACTCCACGCCCCCTAACCCAAAAGCTCTAGGTGAAGCCATCCGAGCTTCATGTTTTCATGCTGAAACGCAGAACAACGCTTGTTGTGTCACAAGAACAGTGGGATTAAGTTAAGAGCCTGAAGCAGAAATCTTGAAATGGACGAGACCAAGGCGCATACGCTATCGAAGCTACAACAGTAACAGTACTACAAAGCACAAGAAGAATCCTAGAAATGCCCCTACCCTATGCGACGGCCAAGGGCGAGATTTGTGACTTGCATACGTAGGGAGGCCCCACTATAGAACCCTAAGTACTACAGTCCTTGATATGGGGACCCCAAAAGAGTACCCCTATTTTTTGGAAACCCGACCTTAATCCCTGTATGATAAACACTCTATCCCCTTTAGAGGTACCCACCCACTTTTGGGCATCCCCCATGCTGCGTGGATATCTTCCCTAAACCTGAAACGCTGAACCCTAAGTCCTAAACCATAAAACCTTTTGCCCAAACACTAAGCCCTAAACCCTAAACCCTTTTGCCCAAACCCTAAGCCCTAAACCCTAATGCCCAAACCCTAAGCCCTAAACCCTAAAGCCTTTTGCCCAACTAAGCCCTAAACCCTAAACCCTTTTGCCCAAACCCTAAGCCCTAAACCCTAAAGCCTTTTGCCCAAACGCTAAGCCCTAAACCCTAAACCCTTTTGCCCAAACCCTAAGCCCTAAATCCTAAACCGTTTTGCCCAAACCCTAAGCCCTAAACCCCAAAGAGACCAGCGGCTGAACCATAGCCCCGAGGCAGGATAGGCATGGCACTTCCGTCACATACCTGAAGACGCGGTTCAGGGTTCAGGGGTTTAGGGTTTAGGGTTCAGGAGTTTAGGGTTTAGGGGTTTAGGGGTTCAGGTGTTTGGGGTTTAGGGTTCAGGAGTTTAGGGTTTAGGGTTCAGGGGTTTAGGGGTTCAGGAGTTTGGGGTTCAGGGTTCACGGGTTTAGCGTCACATACCTGAATCTAAGGCTAGAAGTATCGGGCCCTAGTATGGGCCCTTAGGCCTTTTAGGGGGATTCAGGGGATCCTTCAGGGTACATATGAACTATATTCTAAACTCCTTAAAGGGGGTTATATAACGGATTATATAGGGGAGCATTATAGGGCTATTAAGGGGGATACTAGGAGTTTAGACTATGGCTCATATAGGGAATATAGTAGGAAGTTTCAATCTCAGACTGAAGACGATCTCAGCTATGAAGGCCCACAATGGTGTACATGCTAAGCTTGCCCCCAACAGTCGGTGTTTTGCGAGGTCCAAGGTTTAGTGTTTGGGGTGTAGGGTTTGGGTACTCAAAATCAATGAAACCTTTGCCCTTAAGGATTCTACATCTCCCAAACACACCATTGATGCTATGGTGACCCTTGACGTGGGTTTCACATTCTTCGGCGCAAAGATCCGCAACTTAGTGGTGCTTAAGGGGGAGCGGCGGAATGAATATAGGGACTATTTTATACTATTTTAGGAGTATATTTGGGGAGTATATAGAGATTGGTATGAAGCATCCACTCCCTCATTCTCCCTTAAGAACCAGTAAGGAAACTATAATGCGTGTGTTGCTGCGGTTCATGCTGCAAATACTATATCACCATATGATACTAAGCTGCCAGGATTTCCAAGGTTTAGCCTAGTAAGGGTTTAGGCTAGACTTCGAACAGCAACGGTACAACCATGTGAGAACTTCCTGCTTGATAAGCCCGCAACAGGTGCACCCAACCGCGCAGGCGATTGCCCCACACGATGCGCTCCTGAAATTCAGGTCTAACTGGAGCGGGGGTGAGGGGGAAGTAGCCAGTAGGTTTATGATGGAAGCGAAAATTGAAGCTACTACACCATCTAGGGCTTTGAGTTTGCGAATTGGGTCGGGGAGACGTAGTTCGTCGGTAAATACTGGAAAAGAAAATGGAAGCTAGTACATTGGTTAGGGGTTGGGTTTTATGGATTAGGGTCAGGGGGACTTAGCAAGTAGGTTAATAACGGGAGTGCTGCAGCTACTAGATCGCTTATAAGGGGCTGTAAGTAAATTTACAAAACCGTACTTTCCATACAGCCCCGCAATATTCCTACGCGTAAACCCAACCCCTAAGTCTTGGAGACCTGCGTGTGCTGCAGACGGTGCTGGGAAAAGCTACCTCTTAGAACCAGGCAGCTGCCATAGACTTCTACCTGCGGGGGTTTAGTAGGGAACAAAGGGAATGTAGGGTTTAGGGTCAGTAGGGAATATGGGAAAATGGCATATAGATGCATATAGGCATTGTATAAAGGTTCAAAATCCATATTCTCTGAGTAACCCTAGACCCTAAACCGTATATTGTGTGCTGTAAGTCTATGATTGGCCTGCGACACGAAGGCTTTGTGCAAAAAAAACCCTGGTTGCGCGTTGAGAAAGGTTCGGAAACCTGAACCCCTCATGGGTTCTAGGTTGGCTACTGCCCCCCCCAGTAACAGTCCATATTAGGGGTCCTATTAAGGGCTATATATAACCATATCATAATTCTTATCTAACTGTTACGGAAGGGGGGGCAGTACCAAAGTTCTTGGGTTAGGGGTTTAGGGTTTGGGCTTCAGGGCTTTCCCAGCCTGCGGCCGTAGGCTGGCAACAGAATTCCAACTGGTCAGGGGCTCATATTAGTCACCAAGCTAGAATTCAGGGCCTGACTTACATTGTAAGATGATGGCACGCTGCAATACAAGGTCTTGCAAACTTGGAAAATCCCTAAACCCTAAACCCCTAAACCCTATTCCCCAGTTTCCCTGCCCAATCAACTGATGGGTTTGTAACGAGGGAAAATCACTGCTGCCTTCTCAAGGATTACACCCCTCAAAAGTACCATGCTATACAACAGCCCCAGTATTCACCTACTTACCCTGACCCTAAAACTTGAATAACATGACAGGATGGTTTCCTCTTTCTCTTCCATTCCTCCTGCCAACCCGACACCCTAAAACCCTACTTACTCAGTCACCCTGACCCTAACTCTAAGGCAACCCCAGTAGAAATTGTAATTTCAGCTAAATAGTAGGATTGTTGGTAACAGAAATTGATAAGCATTTTCAGGAACCTTGTAGCTAAAGCCCAAACCTTGAATACTATGACACTTTCCATTTTCCCTTCCATTCCTAAGGCAAACACTAAACCCTAAAATACGAAAACGCTACTTACTCAGTCCCCCTGATCCTCCATGTGATTTTGACAGGCAGTTCCAAGTCTGTCATTGCGCTCTTGTCTCCAAAGCCATAGATCTTAAACCTTCTTGGGGGGTTGCCATAAGCAGGGGCTCCAATAACCTCCTTCTAGGGGACCTGAGCAACCAAGAGTAACCCAAGGGTCAAGATAATCTAATAAGTTTTTGTCTCCTGCATCAGCTGGTCGGCATTTGGAATGAGGCCACGAAGAACGCCCGCTGTGTGGGCGAGCCTAACTGAAAGGGAACTATCTTCAGGATGGTTCAGGATGACTAGTACCAATCAACATGCACACCCCAATATCCTCAATACATAAAATGTTGCTTGAGGGAGCGTTGAATATCCGGGGGTGGTGGGTGTTAATGCGTGATGAAAAAGGGAAATGTGCACATTGACTCGCCGCAGCGGCTGCAAGAATAGCATTTTCACCATTAACAGTCTTCATCGCATCGTTGGCGTAATGGTAGCCCCCAGAACACTCAACAATGCCCGGAGGACTGGGCTACCAAACGCACGAAACTCAGCATCACGTCGGCGATGATTGAGGCGGTCGTTGCTGAGGCGAACGGCCACCAAATGGGCCTGACCAGACATCATTTTCCATTTTCTTTAACATTCCCTATGATGGTTCTGTTGCAACGGGCTAAATACAGATTCTACAAATAAGGCCCTTATGCTTGGATTTCTGGAAGAGGGTCAGGGGAAGCAGCATGCTCAAACAAACCCATGCTACCCCTAAAACCCTGAACCCACATTGAGCTATGTGAAAACGAGGAGCCCCGGTATGGGAATCCTTACCAATACGATTTTTCCCCCTTTTTGGGTTTAGGCCTTAGGTTTTCCCTGCAGGTGGAGCTGCCCTACTGGCAAGTTTTGAGCACATGCTCTCTAGCTCCTTTAAAAGTGGCTCAATACGGGAAATTGAACTGCAAACACCAATATCTGGCCACTGAGCCCAGGGCAGTCTAAGTACAGCAATGTAGCGACCTGAATGCATGCAATCATGCTTTGAAGCACAAGGTACTACACAAGGGTTGTTAGGGAATCATTCCTGGTAGTTAGTCTAGCTAATGCAGTTCTGCCTGAAGCATGGCCGCTGACCCCTACGCGCCACATCCCCTCTCACAGCCTCACACCTGAACCCTATATCCTAAATCCTAAACCTTCAATTCTAAATCCTGAGCCCCAAGCCCTACGTCCTAAATCCCGAACCCTAAACCCTAAATCCTAAACCCTGAATCCTAAACCTTTTTTTGCAGCAGGCTTGTTGGTCTCCATCTGGACCCCAGAACCTGTTCTCCAAACAAGGCTCACACTGGAGAATGCTGAGCACAATTCATCTCTAAACTTTGGGATCTGGAAAGTTCGCCGCACCACAAACAACACCCCTAAACCTTAAACCCCAAAACCCTAAACCCTACACCCTAAAGCCCTAAAACCTAAAACCTAAAACCTTTAAAATCCAAAAATCCTAAAGCCCTAAACCCTAAAACCCTAAAAACAACACTAAATTCTGCAAGTTTGGATGACTCAGATCTTAGCCTGTCAACACCGTGTGCCAGCACTCTCTCACAACCCTGTGCCTTCGGCCACTGGGCCAAAAAGATTCCCAAGGGTCCAAATGGAATTGATTTCCCCCCCCCCCTGGATTTAACTTTACAGGTCCTGGCAGCGACATTTATCTGCGACTTTAAAACTAAAGTTGCGCAAGCAGTCGCTGCAAATATAACAGAATCCAGGGAAGCACGTAGAGGCAGCAGTATAGCCGTGAGCTGCCACTGAGCATACCCTGAAGCGTTGTTGTCTTGTCTGCAACTGCAAGTGTCGTGGCCGTTGTGTTGCCCTCCTCTGCAGCCTCTGCAGTTGTGGTGCTACTGACCTGAGGCGTTGTGCCGGTAGTCCCAGCTGTCGTCTCGTCTGCAACAACCTCTGTTGTCGTCGTTGTATTCCCCGCCGCAGCAGGTGATTGCTGTTGTGAAGTTGTAGTTGTGCCTATCGTGGTGCATGTAGCTCCTGGGGTGGCAGGCTGCTCACAGCCAGTGGCAGCGACTTCTGGAATGTCCTGTGTGACGCAATCTGAACCCCAGAAGATCCAGGCCGTGTTGTCTGACGTAAAGAAATTGCAGTCGTAGCCGCCGAAATAGACACCACTCTGTTCTGGGAACGGGGACAAGGCATATGCTCGAACTGCTGTGAGCACTGGATCGACTTGGTCTGCGCGGCATCTCCTGCCACCGACTTCTCGCGTTTCATACTGTGACAGCGACCGGCGAATCATGTAACCACCACCTGAAGGGCTGTCAAAATTAGGGTCCCTTTTTGGCTACCCTGAGTAGTACACTCCCAAGAAACATGGGAACATATAAGGGGATCATAAACTTGGCAACCTCCCACCTGCCCAATACGACGCACTTGCATCCCCGTTCCACTGGCCAGGATTCGCAGGAAGAGAAGATGCAGTCGGGCCCCATAGCAGCACCATGAAACCGATGAAGTGCACCGTGCCACCATTCCTTGCAGGCACTGCTAGGATGTCGTTGTATGCTGCAAGTGCGTAGGGAAACTTCCCATTTGCTTCGTAACTGTCCCTCATAATTTGCTTCACACACTTTTCCTGTGTCACATCGAAACCATCCGCGTTCGTCTTTGGATCTAACCGATAAATGCAGCCCTGTGAGCGCCCGTTTGGGTTCCATGCCACCAGAAATGATTTACCGTTGGCGCTTGCGGGATTGTCGATTGCGGTGAGACCACGGGGTCCGCCCACCGACTCGTCCACCTGTGTGACCGAGGTATCATGTTGCAGCATGTCGAGAACCGTAGTCCAGGTTGCATCCGTGTTTCCCTGTGATCGCTTCATGAGGAGGGAGCCCACAGCAATGTACACATGGCCGTCCATTTCAGCTACTGCGAGTGGCCGCTGCGGAAGATTTGCTGTGCCAGACTCAATGTGATTGTCGAAGGACACGCGGATAGGGCTGTTGGGATCGTAGTGGCCCCGGGTGACACCATCCTTGCCTGTTGGAATGATGATACGCTCCAACTCGGTGATGGGGTCCTTGTAATGGATCATGGAACGCCCCGTGAAGCCATCGCTTGTAAAAGGACGTTTCGTGTAGAATGGGCTGCATGCCCAAAGCTTTGTGGCATCGTTGCGAGTGCAAAAGACGCAGCGAGCTTCTCCAGCCCAGTCTAAGTAACCAGTAGCATGCAAAAGCTCATCAGTGCCGCTGGGTGACGTCCACTTGACAGACTTCAGACACTCGAGGCGTACCACGTAGCTCATATACACATTCCCGTCTTCAGGCTGTTCCACCTCCCACTCACAAGTTGGACAATCCAGACGTAGAATCCGACCTGGGTTTAGGAAGTATGGGCTTTCCAGTTTTTCAGGTTTAGGGTGGTCAAGGATTTAGGATCTTAGAATTTAGCGCTTCGTCGAATCCAACCTGGGTGGTGAGATGGATGCATCCAGTAGCCCAGGGAAGCGAAAAGAGAGCCTTGGTAGCTCTGTTTGAGGGGTTTTAGGGTATAAGGTTTTAGGGTTTTAGGGTTTTAGGGTTTAGGGTTTTAGGGCTTACCTGAAACCTCCAACGTAGTTCCTTTTTGGGTCTGGTATGGTTTTCTGGTTAGGACTCTTATTAAGGCTACGAAAAAAGGTACTACCTTGGAGGGTCTAGTTACTCCACTAATTATTTGAAGCTCGCTTGAAGCAGAGAAAGCAAACCTCAACCCTAAACCAAAACCCTCGACCCTAAGCCCTAAACCCTAAGCTCTGAGCCCTAAACTTGAAACCCTGAAACAAAAACCCTAAGCCCTAAATCCTAAACCCTGACCCCAAAAATCGTAAACCCGAATCCTAAACCCAAAGCCAAAGTTGTATTGAAATCCCGTCAAGGGTCCCTTATGGCTCGCAAGTTGCACGATCTCGGTACCAGGTATTCCAGTTCTGCCTGATTAGAAGGTTCAGGGTTTAGGGTCGAGGGATTTGGGGCTTAAGGTTCCGGGCTGAGGCCTTGGGGTTGAGGTCTTAATTGGGGATGATCAGTGGTTTTAGTTTTAGGGTTCGGGGGGTTGGGTTGAGGGCTCAGGGTTTGGAGGAAGGCTCCAGAGCCCCGAAGCGCCACAGCGCACACCCAACCGCTGGGCTCGAAACCTCTACGAACCGCGAAGGCAACGGAGCCGCCAAGAACCGGAAGCGATTATGTATATTGGATACTGTTATGTATATTGGATATTGTTATTTAACTTGGATATTATTATCATTTACATTGTATATTGTTATGGTCTGGAAGCGCGTCCACCAACAAAGCAAGTAGAATCGAAACTCGCAACGCAAAGAGCCGCGGGGACACGAATCCCTCCCGAACATGACCTACTGTGTTGCCTTGGCCACGAATGCCTCCGATTCCGAACGACAATCTAGCTGGGCGTTTCTGGGGCCAGACTCCTCCGACAAGCCATGGCATAAAAGGATCTGGGTGCCCGGATGGGCTGCCATAGCATCATGGGCAATCTTATGCCCTCAAACAAGGTACTCGCGTCTTTCGCCGCCGTGAAAGGTATGTAAATGTATTTTTAGGGATAGTCAGAGCATATGCGGCCTCAACTGTAGGAAACACT